CCACCGCACCCGGCCTCCAAAAAGCATCTTCAGGCAAAACGGAGACCAAGGGCATGTAGTGCCTAGTCTTGCCCAGCTCCACCTGGCAGCCACGTCTTCAGATGGGGCAGACAGATGAGAGTCAGCAGCAGTTTGATTCAGGTGGGTGGTACCTGAGTCCGGAAGGACCAAAAAGCCCACTGACCCTCGCTCTTTATTGTCCAGGCTTACAATTCTGGCACACTCAAAATTGTCCTGAACCCGCAGGAGGGATTTTGCTGCTCTAAGAGTTTTTTTCTGGACAAGAGAAAGTTTTGCCTGCTTTGTGCTACAACAGCACTTTGTGCAGAACATATTTTATATTCCATGACTATGTAAAGGTAACCGTCCTATCCGGAATGCTATTTATACAAGCTGCCCTCAATTCCCTAAGGCGGTTTTTGTGTTTGAGTGTGGGCTGTGGGGACAGTGCTCTGAAGGTTCTCGTTGGCCCACACAGTCCCTTGATCGACCTTCCCATGTTGTCACTGTTTAAAGGTTGAGGTTCACTGCCTTGACCACACTCTTTTATAATCTCACGAGACCAAGTTCATTTCAAATGTACTCAACACAGTCTGGCGCCAGCTTGACACTACTCTGCCTTTTCCCTCCCATCCACAGTAAGCTGTGCCCTGCACCATATCGTAGATCCACTCAGCTCAGCCTCCATCACACGACTCATGGCAAAGATGGGTTTGCTACACATCAATCAGAATTCAGTAGCACCTCTCAGGGAGGGACAGAAATGGCATATCAGTTAAGAACCAGTTTCCCGGTTCTTGGAAAGGAGCCATCAGGCAACAGTTGGAAAATAACTTGAAGTCTTTTCTGTCCCCGACTGCCTTAGTCTACTTGCTCTTCGGGTCATCTCTGTTCATGGTCGCCTTATCATTTCAGACACCATATTGTTAGGTCCTAGTTGTTAAGAATCGAATCATTCTCACATTCCCGAGGAGATACATCCCCCTCCCCAACCCATGCATCTTCACCTTCCAGGACGTCTAACTTGAACCCTGATGTCATTACCTCACTGCCCAATGCTACTTACCCAGTTAAGTTCCTTCTCTTCCCAGTGTGGGCCTTTCTGCGAACTTTTGAAAGAGCATAGCGCTGGGCAAAGTGATAGCTCTACTTTATTAGGCATGAGGCCAGTAGAGCAAGTCCAGGATCTTCGGAAAACCTTAAGTACAAAAATGACGATTCTCAAAAAAATACCGATTAATTTTGTCAACTTATTTTAGTTAACATGGCTTTGTTAGAACTTTCATCAAATTCTCAGTAGAGAATGTAAAGTATACTTAAGTATCACGTAGGTTGGGTTTTGTTTTATTTTGGCTTTTTGTTTTTAATGTCATGGGCTTTGATTTTTAAAGATAGAGCTGGTTTTTGTCCCCCAGAGGAATAGCAGTGTGCTATTGTCTCTACCTCCAAGTGACATTTCAACTTGGGGACACATAAGGAAGCAATGAAAATTGTAATTATTTTTCAAAATTACAAGAGGAAAAGATGCAATTAAAAAATCAACTTTAAAATTAAAATTTTAATTATTATTGTTTGATTATCTCTAATGTTGTCAAATATTTGCCATTAGAGTTTTACGGTCTGAAAAACCATTGCACCATATTTTCTTAAAACTAGATAAATTTCAACTGGCCATTTGTAAGACTGTCATACTCTCATAGATTATATTCCCTGCAGAAGAAACCAAGAGTCCGGTGTGGAACTGACCCACGTCTCCATTTATACCCTTCTGGAATAGGTGAAATCCAATAGGATTTTTCATTGGGGACTTTAGCTTTGGTTTCAACCATAGGTAGTAAATGTTTAGTAGTTAGCTAGTTAATTTTTTAAATGGCTGAACATGAATTAATGGCTAATCATAAAAGCCAATACTTACATGGCGCTTACTGGGTTACATGTATATGGCGCTGTTCTAAGTGCTATGTGTACATATATATATTATGTAATCCTCACAAAACCACCAAAAGGTAGATACTACTGTTCACCAATGAAATCTGAGATCCAGAGAAATGAACTAACCCAATATCACACAATTACTATGTGCAAGAGCTGGGATTCACTCCCGTGGAGCCAGGCTCCAGGGCCTTAAATACCACGCTTTAGTGCCAGAATGATTTACTACAACTTCTCCCACTCAAGGATGATCCTTGGGTTTTCATCAAAGAGGACAGGCCGGGCGTGGTGGCTCACACCTGTAATCCCAGCACTTTAGGAGGCCAAGACGGGCGGCTTCCCTGAGCTCAGGAGTTCGAGACCAGCCTGGGCAACATGGTGAAACCCTGTCTCTACTAAAATACAAAAAATTAGCCAGGCATGGCGGTGTGTGCCTGTAGTCCCAGCTACTCAGGAGGCTGAGGCTGGAGAATTGCTTGAACCGGGGAGGCAGAGGTTGCAGTGAGCCGAGATCACGCTACTGCACTCCAGCCTGGGCGACAGAGCAAGACTCTGTCTCCACAAGGTGGACGTGATTTATTTAAGATTTCTCAATGAGGCAAGCAGGAAAAAAGTCCTTTAACACATTCGTAAGTATTACACTTCTTGCCATTGTGCCTTCAGTTTACAACCGATAAAACACCGACTTCTAGCTGCAATTTCTAGACTCTTAATGGTTACTATCTAGAAATAAGGTTGATTGAACCAGAGAAGGTTGTACTCACAATATATGCTTACAATCCCACAGGTAACAGGATGGTTTAATTGGCCAAGCTTTCACCTCTTCAGTGCACTAAAGGCTTGAGGTTTAATGAATGGGTGGAGGAGGATAAACATGGCTTAACAGCCCAACCAATAAAGGTCTCCTCCCTATTCACCACAGCCTGGGGCAAGCCAAGAATTCCGGCCCTGGCTGGGGGTAATGGAGATGGATCCCCTAAGAGGAGCTGAGCGGACACCTGCAGTTGATGCTGCTGACACAGGTGTTGGTCATCCTCGCCTGGGGCATTTTTCCTGCCTTTCTGTTGGCTGGAAAGAAAGGGCTGACTTGCAGGGCCCTGTGCGAATTGACTTAAGCCACTACGGCGAGCTGATTGTGTTGGGCAGTTTGTGGAGGAAATTCTGTCCCCTATTCATTGATGCTCTTCTTGGGACACAATTCCAGGACTGTGACTTCCAGGACCCAATTACAATGACAGTCTTAGGTGTCATACTTAAAATGTGCCCACATTTTCTTTTCTGAGAATAGAGAACCTATCTCATGTTCAGAAATGAGCTAATGTTTTGGCCAGGCATGGTGGCTCACGCCTGTAATCCCAGAACTTTGGGAGACTGAGACAGGGTGATCACCTAAGGTCAGGAGTTTGAGACCAGCCTGGCGAACATGACAAAACCCCATCCCTACTAAAAATACAAAAATTAGCCGGGCATGATGGTGGGTGCCTGTAATCCCAGCTACTCGGGAGACTGAGGCAGGAGAATTGCTTGAACCCGGAAGGCGGAGATTGCAGTGAGCCAAGATGGTACCACTGCACTTCAGCCTGGGCAATAAGAGTGAAACTTTGTCTCAAAAAAAAAAAAAGAAAAGAAAAGAAAAGAAAAAAGAAATGACCTAATGTTTCATCTTTGACATTTCAGAATAATTTGCAAGGATTTCGATTAAATAGCAAAATCGAAAAGGAAAGGGGAGAACAATCAGTGTGTTGTGTCTCGTGCTTCTCTGGTCACTTTATCTGAGGGTGGTCTATTTTCTAAAATTATGGGGAGAAACAAGAATTATTTGTTCAAAGGCTGTATCCAAACTCTCAATTTAAAAGCATGATTCATCATCTTGGAGGATCATGATCTGTCCACCTGTAGATTTATGTAGACTTATTTACAGAAGACTGACAGGTAGAGGACTGTTTTAGAATTTAGTTTGTCTTACATCACATCCAATAATTCAAAGCCACTCAGAGTATTTTCCTGAGTCAGGAGCCTGTGAAATGACAGTGCCACAACTGACAGGGAGAACGGTGAGCAAGATCCATACAAATTGCAAGAGTTGGGGAGGTACCAGGGACGTTAATTTAGCATTCTATGTCTGCAAAATACCACATTTTTCAGAGGACTTTCCGACACTGGACTAATGGGCAATGTAGGAGAGAGCTTAGTGACCCCACCCCTGGTGACCCCCCAGGGTCGGGGAAGGGGGAACCTAGTGATTTGTTTCTTGCGGAATGGATAGCCTAGGAAGTCACACCACTACCAGGACCTAAAGGCATCAGGCTGTACTTAAATCACCTTTAAGACCAGGTTTCTGATATTTATATTGTTTTCATCCTTTCTTTGTGTAACAGCCAAGTATAAAGCTGTTCCATGCCTGGATAATTTTTATTGCGTCGGCATGGCTGTGTTGAGATATTCTGACACAACAGGAATCATGATTTGTCTAAGCATAGATTTATACTGACTTCTTTATAGAAGAGTGACAAGGAGGGGACTTTTTAAAGATTAGTCTGTGTCATGTTGCACCCAATAACGCAGAGTATTGAAACTGAGGTCTGATTTAATCGGCCTGGCCACACACTCTACATTTCCTTTTCATTATCAAGTATATGATTAACGTAAGGAACTTTTTTTTTCTAGCCTATCTCCAAAGTAGTTCAAATAACAATGCGAAGTTTAAAAGCACTGAGTTTTTTTCTCCTGCTTTCATATGTAGCTTTTAACATGAGCTATTTATCGGTCATCAGATTACTTAAGGGTCAGAAATGCATTCTTTTCATAATGTTCTACAAAACACACTCATAGAAAAATGCGTACTTTCTTAATGTTCTGCAAAACAGACTCATTAATTCTGCCGTTATTTCTAAGTTGCTCCGCCCAGTCCGTCTGAATCTCTCTGGTGGACGGGCGTGTTGACCCTGGCAGACGACTCTAGGATATTGCTGGAGAGGGTCACTGCGTTTGCCTCATTTCTGTTTTCTCTGCCTAACAAAGGTGACCTACTTGGCCACTGATACTCAGACGTATTTCATTTTTGGTAGAGTTCTAGTGAAGAGGATCCTCTAACTGAACCAAGGTCATCTACCAAGATATCTACGTTTAAGTGTGACTCCAAACTTCCAGCAATTGACCAAACATCAGTCAAGCAGAAACATAAAAGTACCATGACTGCAAGGAAAGCAGACAAAGCGGACCCCAGCGACCCCTCTCCAGGTGAGTGGCTGGCTTATTGAAATTCATCAGCTCTAAAATCCCGGTATTAAAAATAACAACAGGCTGGGCGTGGTGGCTCACACCTGAAATCCCAGCACTTGTGAGAGGCTAAGGCCAGCAGATCACTTGAGGTCAGGAATTTGAGACCAGCCTGGCCTACATGGCGAAACTCTGTCTCTACTAAAAATACAAAAATTAACCAGCTGTGGTGATGCACGCCTGTAATCCCAGCTACTCGGGAGGCTGAGGCAGGAGAATCACTTGAACCTGGGAGGCGGAGGTTGCAGTGAGCCAAGATCGCACCACTGCACTCCAGCCTGGGCAACAGAGCAAGACTCCGCCTCAAAAATAAATACATTAAATAAATAAATATAACAACAACAATCAAATAGGTGGTATTGGTTAAACCTAGTGTGTTCTGAATGGCTAATTCAGGTTGTGAAAGGCCAGTGATCCTATGCAAACGGTAACATTAATTTCAGAGTAGAATATAAAGTCAAGGAGGCGTGAATCATGCAATGTAACTTTCTCCACTGCCCGCATTTTCTGCCCAGTCATTTGTGTGGCTTCCGCCTACAGCTGCTGCCTTTTCATCATCTTCGCCCTTCTTGGGGATAAAGGCATTTGGCCCCAGGTATCAAGTTTTATGGCTCAAGCAAGAGCATAAAGAGAAGCTTTCAAATACATCTGAATAGCACAATTTATAGCCAAGAGAGAAAGTAATAAAGTTTTCCTGTTCGGGGTTTGTCCTCTCTGAGAGAAAAGGTGCTTGATAAATCCTCCTTTTTGTGCAACTTGGAAAAATAGTCACTCTTTAGGTGCCTTAGAGCAAAGATCAATCTTGCTTGGGGCGGGAGTGATTTAATAGTTTCCAGAAAGCGGCTAAAATTCACTGAAAATTTGATGTCTCTCGGGCTCATCTCCATCAAAGACAACCGCTATAAGACAAACTTGATTCCTCCAAGAACTGAGGTTTAAGTTGGAGTAACTAGGCAGAAGGGTCTAAGTTGAGTAGAAAGGATTCAGGCTAACTGCTGAAGAATTCGTCAATACCGTGCAATTCATTAAAATCCAAATCACAGCTACTTTCCAATCCTAAATAGCTTCTGCCGTGCAACCACCCGTCCAGTTAAGTCTTCATGCATTTTTAGAACATGGCAGCTTTCACTCAGATTAACCGCCCACATTTTATTGCTTTAACGAAGTCAAAACCAAATTGACTTCTGAAATGATGTTCTCTCAGGCAAAGCCCCAACTCTTGCTTCTTATTTAATCAGGGGAAAGTATCATCACGGTGAATTTCTCATTTTAAAGACTTTTGGTAGGAATTAGGCTTTAATTCAGCTGTCTAAGGTTAAACAGAGCAGATAAGGTCATTCCACCAATATTTCAAAATACAAGTTGTAATGTATCGAATTGAGGATGTTTTTAATAGCAAAAGTTTGAATTTCAGGGTTTTTTGTTTGTTTGTTTTTGTTGAGATGGAGTCTTGCTCTGTTGCCCAGGCTGGAGTGCAGTGGCATGATCTCGGCTCACTGCAACCTCCGCCTCCCGGGTTCAAGCGATTTCCGGGTAATTTTTGTATTTTTAGTAGACACAGGGTTTCACCATGTTGGCCAGGCTGGTCTCAAACTCCTGATCTCAAGGATCCGCCCACCTCTGCCTCCCAAAGTGCTAGGATTACAAGCGTGAGCCACCGCGCCTGGCCTGAATTTAAGTTTAAATAATGCAACTCCATTTATGCAATATAATTTTTAGCCCTCTTGCTAAAATCAGGTGGTTGTTTGCATAGTGTGCTTTGTCATCGTGGAGAAAAATCATTAAAAGGAACCGTTTAGATCCACCCAATGCTTTAGTTTGTCTGATTAACACAGATGTTCTTCAGACTGAGCAAACCCTGTATGGAACTTACAGCACTGACAAAAAGGGAGAATTAATTCACTTAACATTCTTTAAAACATCACATTTGAAGAATTACCAGACTGAAAAACACCAGGTTTCAGTGACAGAGCCAGGTTGGCAGAAAGATATCTATTTCATCAAATGAGGGATGTTACTTGTAGTAAAAGCCTCTACAAACCGCCAGCTTCATCACTGCGTTATGGCCCTAGACCACGTCCAAGACCCATGCAGCCGTGAGGAGGGCTGTGGCCTGGCCGTCCCCAAGCAGAGCCGTCCTGGTGATGGATGGCAGGTGCTCCAGAAGTGGAATAAGTTGTGCAGCAATCTGGCTAAAAACAAAGCATCGATGTGTTAAGATCCATCCATTTAACATGTGTAGACTCACCCTCTGGGCTCCCTAATTAGCATAGCGAAATAAGAACGGAGACATGGCAAGGATTTCAGCTGAGTCCGTTCAGGAAAAGTTGAGCTCAGTAGCAGCCATGATGTAGACAGTTTTCTGCTGTTAACAGAAAAATAGGATTTGGTACCTGAATTAGCTGGACACATTGATCCAATTCACTAGTGAAATTCACAGTTCCTTGCTTTTCTCTGTAGAGAGATATTTCTCTAAAGCATTTTGGGGGTGATACAAAGTTGGCAGTAAGTCATCAAAACTTCTCCCATGTCAGATCTGAGATTCTGTATGAAACTGAGGCATCAAACACAGTGAAATTCCTTTGCAACATCTGCCTCATAGGCTACAGAAGTGGAATCTGGTATAACTTCCTGTGTTATACCAGACTTTTACTGAATAAAAGAATATAGCTGGGGAACATGGCTTGACTGCAAATCTATGTAATGATAATCCATGTGATCAAAAAGGGGTTTTTCTTTGTGTGTAATCTGCCATCTAGAACTTCCAAAACGACTATGTAAAATATAGGCACTATCAATGCCCTCTACAAATAGATTTGTAACCGAGAAGCCATCAGATTGCTCTTCATCCTGTTAAAAGGAATTCACGCATTTAAATTAAGTTTGTATCATCCATGAAACTGCTTCTGAACAAGTGACTTGCAGTGTTCCTTGTTATCTCTCTCCATGCAGTGGCACATGCAGTTATGGGCAAGTGTTTTGGAGTCAAAATGTTTGCATTTGCATCTGGGCCCCATTTATTTGCTGTCTATCTTTGGCCAAATAAAGTATGTCTGTGCCTCAGTTTCCTCATCTGTACAATGGGGAGAAACAGATCCTACCTGCTGAGATTGCTGTGAGAGGCCAGGCGCGGTGGCTCAAGCCTGTAATCCCAGCGCTTTGGGAGGCCAAGGCGGGTGGATCACGAGGTCAGGAGATCGAGACTATCCTGGCTAACATGGTGAAACCCCGTCTCTACTAAAAATACAAAAATAGACCGGCGGTGGTGCGGCGTCTGTAGTCACCCACTTGGGAGGCTGAGGCGGCGAGAATGGCGTGAACCGGGAGGCGGAGCTTGCAGTGAGCCGAGATCACGCCACTGCCACTCCAGCCTGGAGACACACGCGAGACTCCGTCTCAAAAAAAAAAAAAAAAAAAAAAAAAAGAATTGCTGTGAAACTCATGTTAAAAACATACGTCCAGCCTTTAACACAGTCCCTGCCGCTGCAGCCAATTAATGACCACATTATTATTCCTAGTACATGAGAGCAGCAAGTAATGAGGAGAACGGACTAGAAAACTTTGTTTCCTTTGTCTTAAGGTTGTCCTCCTAAAACATCTTTTTTTCTTTACAAAAATCAGAGTTGTATTTTATTGATTGACTGATTGATTGATTATTGAGGTGGGGTCTCACTGTGTTGCCCAGGCCGAAGTGTACTGGTGCAATCATAGGTCACTGCAACCTCAAACTCCTGGGCTCAAGTGATCATCTGACCCCAGCCTTCCAAGTAGCTGTCACTACAGGCACACGCCACTATGCCTGGCGAACTTTTTACTCTTTTTGTTTTTGTTTTGTTTTGTCATCATTGTTGTTTTGAGACAGAGTTTCGCTCTTCTTGCCCAGGCTGGAGTGCAGTGTCACGATCTTGGCTCCCGGCAACTTCCCCCTCCCGGGTTCAAGTGATTCTCCTGTCTCAGCCTCCCGAGTAGCTGGGACTACAGACATGTACCACCATGCCCAGCTAATTTTGTATTTTTAGTAGAGACAGGGTTTCTCCATGTTAGTCAGGCTGATCTTGAACTCCCAACCTCAGGTGATCCATCTGCCTTGGCCTACCAAAGTACTGGGATTACAGGCGTGAGCCACCGCGCCTCGCCATTTTTTTACTTTTTATGGAGACTAGGTCTTGCTTTGTTGCCCAGGCTGGTCTTGAACTCCTGGGCTCAAGTGATCCTCCCATCTTGGCCTCCCAAAGTGCTAGGTTTACAGACATGAGCCACAGCACCCAGCCCAGAGTTGTATTTTCTAGAATCTTTAACGTAAATGCAGGTACAAATACTTTTACAACACTCTGAGTTTCAAAAACACTCTGAGTTTCAAAGCAAAATGCCAAATGGAAAAAGATGAAGAATCAGACAGCATTCACCAAGCCAGAGATAGGCTTTATCTCCACAAAGACATGGAAAATTCAGGCAGTGAGTCAGGACCTGGCTGGGTCTCACGTGCAATCAGCTCAGAAAACCCACATCCTGAACACTGGTGTAGGGTAAGGTATGAGCCTAACGGAGTTACATGTTCTTAGTTACATGTTCTTAGTTACATGTTCAGAATTGTATATATATCCTTGAGACCCAGAAGAGCTAGCAGGCCCAGCGAGTGCAGGGACACAGGGACATCTGGGGAGTTGTGTTGGCCTCCAAGGCCTGCATGCTCTCAAGACCTCTTCCAGCCCCACCCGGAGTTGGAGAGGAGCCGCCTGTCCTTTCCAGGACACGGAGGGGCATCCAAAGGCCACTGTGCTGTGGGGTTCTGGCCCCTGGAATCCTAACGAGCTCCCTACCCTGGGGCCAGACGTGTGGGAAGTGAGCGTCCCCTCTCCTGCCGTCTGCTCTCACCTGGAGCTTGGGCATGGTCCCCCGAGTTATGTGCCAGGAAGACAGATCTGGATGGAGTCCTGTGAACCTGCTTCCAAAATCTTGCC